AAGGAGAAAAAAAATTGGGAGGAAGCAAACGGATAGAAAGACGGGAGGGATAAGACTTTTTAAATAGGGGGAAAGGGCACACAACTGCGGAGGAAATTAAGAGGGTGAAAGGGCCAAGAACGATACAGCAGCACGGGAGTCGGGGGAAAACAAGGGGGTGCGGGGGGAGGCATAAACAGGTAGGACTTGCAGAGCTCGGCTTCCGCCGCGCCGTACGCAGCAACCGCCCCGACGGGGGAGGTGGCCCGCTCGAGGATAGGCACCGGCATGACACAGCCATCGTTGAGGCACAGAGCCGTCCTCGTGAGCTTTGGCGCGTGGCAGACGGAGCAACGAACCGCATGCTGCGCGCCGAAGCCGGCGGGCGCGGCGGGCGCGGCGGGCGCGGCGCGCGCGCGCGCGGCGGGCGGCGCCGAGGGGCTTGGGCACGTCTTTGCGGTGGACCAGTGGCTCTTGCCGCACCTTCCGCACCGGATCCAGGCACGCTGGCCTGGCCGGGTGGGCGCGGCGGCGTGGCGAGGAAGAGCTCTCCGAGTGCCGGCGTTGAGCGGGCAGTCTCGGTGGCTTGTGCGCAAGTGGTCGGTCGAGCCGCAGCGGCAGGCTCGCGCCGGCGCGGCACCCACCCGCTCATGGAAGAGCTCCTCCAGCGGCACCGCCGCCTCCTCCTCGCCGTCCTCGTACGCCACGCCAAAGGTGCCTGCTCACAGCTGCAGGTGTGGACACAGCGTCTCTTCACAGCCCGTACGCCCCACACCAAAGGTGCCTGCTCACAGCTGCAGGTGTGAACACAGCGTCTCTTCACAGCTCGTACGCCCCACGCCAACGGTGCCGTCGTTGTTGACGGACGTCACCTCGCCGCGGTACCTGCACAAGAAAAGGGGAGGGGGCGGTCAGGGAGGGGCGGGGCTCCCCCCTCTCGGCCCTCGGCAGCCGCGGCACCAGCGAGACACGTCCGAAAAGTAGACAACCACCGCAGCGCCCTCGAATGCGCCGGAAGCGGCGAGCGGCGCGCCCGGCTGAGGCAGATGCGGGCGAGCCCGCGGCTGCGGCAGCGCCTTCTCGCGCCTCCACGGCCAGCCTTGCAGCGTGTCGAAGCAGCGCGTCCCGTCGTCGTACTCGATGTACAGGCCGCCCTCGGCCAGCTCACCGGTCGGGTCCGCCGCGCCCTCGGGCGGAGAGCCTACGTGCTGAAGACGCAAACTTCAGGGCGCGAAGGGCGGTCCTGTGCGGCGTATCGGGAGCACCGCGTGAGCACGACGGACAGGAGGGCAGTGAGTACAGCGGAGTGCGGCGGAATACGGCGGAATGCGCGTCCTCTCGAGTGCTAGATCTGGGGGAGATATGGGGGAGATATGGGGAGGTGTGTCCTCTCGAGTGCTAGATATGGGGGAGATATGGGGGAGATATGGGGAGGTGTGTCCTCTCGAGTGCTGGTTGGGAGACAAGAGTGCGTATTCCGCTTCTAGGGCGGAGCGCCAACCAGACCGGCATACCAGATGCCGTTCGGCCAGCGCACCTCGATCCGCTCCCCAACCCGCGGCGTCTCCTCCTCCTCCTCCTCCACCTCCTCCAGCTCCCGCGCAGCCGAGGCGAGGGAGTGCACGTTTTCTTCGTTGTATGCAGTAGATATGACGATGACGAGGAGGCGGTGTTCGGCGGGTGCTCGCGGGTCTCACGGATCTCTTGTTGGTCGTGTCGCCGGGGTGCTG